TGGAAAATCAGCATTTTTATGGGAATTTTTTTCCTCTGAAAACAATTCTTCAATTCTTCTTTCCTGCCCCTCTGACTGATAACTCAGAGGTCCAGATCCCATGCTTTACAGGCAGGAGGTCTAACTCCATCCCTGGCACGGTCTGTCCTCTCAGGACCACGGGGAGCAACCCCTCGAGCACTGCTGGGTGTGGTCCAAAAAAACCAATAAATAAATTTTTAAAAATAATTTTAAATCCCCTCTCTTCCACGAAAGAAACTTCTAAATGAATGACATTTGATTTACCTTACAGTGCTTTGGGGAAATGAAATCTAAATATATGTTAGGATTCCTAACTTGAACTTCAGATAGTTCATTTGAAACTGTTCCAGATTGTTCCCGGTTCTTTAGCAAGTGCAAGCCAAAAACGGTCTATTGTGGTGAGTCCTCTAGGCTGGGGCAGCAGCCCCTTAGGCAGAGCAGGGTGTGGAGCCTCAGGAAGAACTGCTGCTGCTTACAGTAACAGGAAGAATCCACAAGAGATGGCAGTGGCTGGGGCAGGGAAGGAAAGGAAAGTGCTCCAGCCAATGCTCCAGCAAGCAGATGAAAGCAAAAGTCTATTTCATACTTTGCCAATAAATTTAGCACAGATAGAGGACCATTTTCTTCATCTCTTTAGACCTAAGAGCAAGCAAATAAATACCCATGCTATATTCTGATATGATGGTCAAAGAAACTTTTTTTTTCTTTTTTTCTTTTTTGCGTTTTGGGTCACACCCGGCAATGCACAGGGGCTACTCCTGGCTCTGCACTCAGGAATTACTCCTGGAGGTGCTCAGGGGACCATATGGGATGCTGGGACTTGAACCCAGGTTGACCACATGCAAGACAAAACACCCTACCTGCTGTGCTATTGCTCCAGCCCTCAAAGAAACTTTCTATGTTTGATTTTTTTTTTTTGGCTATAAAAGCAAATAACTTTTTGGTTTTGGAACCACATTTGGCAGTGCCCAGGAGCAATTCTGATTTGGGGGGTGGGCCCAGGCAGTACTAGGGGTCAAACCCAGGGCTCCTGTGTGCAAAGCATGCACTCCAGCCCTCTGAACCATCTCCCTGAACCAAAAGGGAAAAAAAATTAACTCTTATAAAGATAATTTAACTCATATAAAGATAGTCCTGTTGCTGTTTTCTGGGGGTAAAAGTGTCAATGGTCGAGCACAGTCAGATCTAATTTGATTCTAACTCTAATCTCTTAGTTCTAATTTAGAGATTAACTAATGAGAGATGGGGGGGAGCAAAAGAGATTTGCTGTTTGTGTAATGTGTGATTTGGGTGTTGTGCGTATTAACTTTGGGGGGTTATTTGATTAATTTATTGTTACAGTGTCGGGATGTGATGTCCAGGGCCACCCCTTTCCCATGTTGGGGCTCACCCTTATATGGGGTGGTCCTGGAGTTGCACTTTCAACCCCACCTGCCCCGTACGTGTAAGACAGGGGCTTACCCATTGAGCCACCCTCTGGATTTCCTCTTCTTCTTTTTTATCTTTAACACATAATTTTCCCCCAAAGGCCACATTGAGTGTTAGTGTAGGGAAACCCCATGATATACTTAATGCCACTTCTCTACTCATCAGCCAGAAAAGAAGAAAATCAATTATAAAACATCCCCGAAACTCTGTTGGCACTCATTACTGGGACGCTAGTCTGCAAGACACTTGTCTTGCTCACCGCCAAACCTAGTTAGCTCCCTGCACAACATGAGATCTCCAAGCACTGATCCAGGAGTAGTCCCCAAGCACCGCCAAATGCATCCCAACATTTTTAACTAATTAAAATGTCTTGGCAGGAAAGGGAAGGGGTCAGTTTGCTATTTTGTTACTTGGGACTCAGGAACTCCTGAACTTCTCTATTATCTGAAACTGGACAAGGAGGGAACAGATAATAGACAGGATTAATTCTGAAGGCATTAAGGTTCATCATAAGAAATATTAAACATTAGAGAACTTTTAAATTAATAACAGTAATAGTAACAGATCATAGTAACTCCTGTTGGTTGCATCTCATCTGCTCTAAGTTCCATATGATGCTTTTTCGACACTGCACATGACTGAGCGGATGCAGTAAACTGACCTGTATTTGTGTGGGTTGGTTATCATCTGTGTGGTCTGACTGTGTGGGGAGGTGAGCCGTGACTGGCTCATCTGGTCCTGCTCGTACTTTGTAGCCCTGCTTGAGCTACGAGCAATTCAGACCTTTGCCTTGAGCCCTGCATTGTGGAAAACACGTGGGAGAGGTGTTTATTGGAGAGCATACTGATTGCACATCAGCTCTGGCCGTCTGGAAGAACTGGGTGATTGGGCACATTACCACAGAGCAGTCTTGAAACGCCACCTGCTCTCGGGTGAGCTTCTGCATTGCCGCGAGAGTGCTGGGTGATCCAGTGGGCTGGAGCATGTATTATGGACGTACCTGAGCCGCAATCTAGGCTGGATCTACAGAGGCTAGGAAAGAGGCATGAGGCACGAAGTCCCAGAGGTGAGGACAGCCTGAGGCGACCACAAATTCGCATCAGTCGAGGAAGAACCTGCGAGCCTCTTGAGTATTGATGTGGGAGTCTCGGGGTGTGGGCATAGGGGAGCGAGAGTTGGAACAAATAAAGCTGTTATTGCCAGTGAGGTAGCAGAATCCACTGGGCCTCCCCAAAATAATCAGTCCCCAAGGGGGCTGAGGGGCCAATTAGATAGTAGTCAGGTAGTATGCACACAAGGGGTGCTCTGGGTTGCTACCTATTTATACCTGACTTACCTTTTTAATTGGTCATTTTCCACCATAAAATGTAAATGTCTAGTCAGGCGTTCTCTTGGATTCTTCCAGAAACAAAATGAGGAGCCATGGGGGGGATGTAGGGGGGAGAAGAGGGTAGGATTTGTTCCCCTTTGTCCTCATCTGAGAACAAGATGAATGTGCCAGTGTTCCCTCTGACAGGCCAAAACATGGGGCTTGTTTAGAATTGTGTCCTGGAATAGCACCTGGTTCTTAGCAAGGGCTTGACTGATGGTGTTTACTGGAAGGATGAATTTACCAGAGAATTAGTGTTTATCTGGGGCACTGGGTCTGTTTCAATTTCACCACCTCTCCCCTCTGTTTTCTTTCTCCCATGACCCACTCTAGGAGTCTCTTGGCAGCTCATTCTAGTTCTCACCCATTTGAAACCACATCCTCTGTCCTTATACCCTTTCCTTTAACCTCACCTGTCAACCCATTTTGTTCTCTGCCATAGCCCAGAAGTCTGAAGAGAATGGAGGTCCCTGGTGACAGTGTAAATATAACTTGCAGTGTGGGCTTGGGAGGAGTCAAAACTGCCCAGCCCATCCTTCACAGCCATTTAGTGAATCTCACTGAGCACTTCCATCTTGAACTTGAACTCCAACAAAACATTTCAAGTATTCATGTCCTGAAAGGATCATCAGTATTCTTGATTCCACCACTGAATAAACACTGTACAGTAGATACAGATTCTTTTCCTTTCTGAGCAGCTGCTAGTTTCTTTTGTCATTGTTTCTTCTCAAGGAACTCTGTTAAAAACAGAGGAGTCCCAGGCTCCTGGAGGGTAATGACGGCCCAGAAGGCCAGTGACCTGGACAGATAGTGCCAGCTAATGACCCTCCCCCCCTGGCTCTGCCTTCCACCTCTGAGGATGGACTGTCGGGATTCTCACTCCCCACCGCCCCTGACTTCACTCCATTCCTTGTCCTTCTTTGTCCTCCTCACTAGGAGTCTTTCCTCTCCCACTTTTATCTCCCAGACCATGATGTTCCCCTGCTCTCTCTGTGCTGTTTTTTTTCATTAGCTTTCCATAAGCCAGTGATGAAGAATAACACTTCTGTTCAGGTTTTCCTCCCTTCTCTCCACATCCCATTATTGCAATAGCTTGGAGGAATTTGGGGAGGATTTATTCTTAAGTCATATGTAGCATTGCTAAGGGTTATTCCTGGCTTTGTGCTCAGAGGTGATTCTTGGCAGTGTCCAGGGAACATATTTGGTGCCAGGAATTAATCCTTTGTCAACCTCATGCACTGCAAGCCCCCTAACCCCTGAATTATCTCTCTAGCCCCAGCTTGGAAAAATGGAAAAGATGCAAACTCATCATTTTCTAAGAATAGCACTATAGCACTGTCCTCCCATTATTCATCCATTTGCTCGAGCGGGCCCAGTAATGTCTCCGTTGTGAGACTTGTTGTTACTGTGTTTGGCATATTGAGTATGCCACGGGGAGCTTGTCAAGCTTTGCTGTGTGGGCGAGATACTATAATGCTAGAAAAAAGGTTACAGGGCAAATTTTAGAAGACCTAACTCCAGCACTTTGGATACACCAATGGAGAGTCTCTAAGAAACAATCGCCTCAAAATTTAAACCAATATAAGATGGTTTGCTCATACCTCACAATTCTGAGACCTCATTGAAAACTTTATATTCCCTGGGGTTGCTGAAACAGATACTGCAAACTTAGTGGTTCAAGCATCACATTTATCTACTAGTTGTTTAGGTCAGAAATCCAAAGCAGGTTTCCATAGGCCAATATCATTGTGATAGCAGGGTCTTCCTGCCTCTGGAAGAGAATCTATTTCCTTGCTTTTCCCAGCTTCTAGATGCTGACCAGATTCCTTGGCTTTTGGCCTCCTCCTCTTAAAGTTAGGAGTGTGCCATCTTTAAGTCTTTCTATTTGTCTCTGTCTTGATGCTTTCCCTGACTCACCCTCTAACCTCCCTCTGTTACATGTAATCATCTTTCCGATTGTACTGGATTTCCCTGAATAATCCCAGATAACTTCCTCCATCTTGGCATCCTGAAAAGGAATACCTGCATAGTCCCTCTTTGGTATATCTTGTTTTCAAGGATGAGGTGAGGGGCTCTCACCTGGAGGGACCATTCATTAGCCTCCCACATGTGAGAAGCCTCAAGGTCTCCCCAAACTTGAATAGCAACATCATTTTTCTCATTTTTCCCTTTCCATTTTCAGATGCAGCGAGACATCATTTATGCAAGAGGCGATGGCGTTGCCTCCCGGCCAGGATCCACAGCACACCCATCCCATGTCATTCCTAACTCCCCGCCCTCCACTCCTGTGCCCCATTCCATGCCTCCGTCCCCATCCAGAATTCCCTATGGGGGCTCCCGTACCATGGTGATTCCTGGCAATGCCACGATCCCCAGGGACAGACTCTCCAGCCTCCCAGTCTCCAGATCTATCTCACCCAGCCCCAGCGCCATCTTGGAAAGAAGAGACGTGAAGCCCGATGAAGACATGAGTGGCAAGAACATCACCTTGTACCGCAATGAGGGTTTCTACGCTGACCCTTACCTTTATCACGAAGGACGAATGAGCATCGCCTCTTCCCATGGCGGCCACCCACTGGACGTCCCCGATCACATCATCGCCTATCACCGCACAGCCATTCGCTCAGCAAGCGCTTACTGCAACCCTTCTCTGCAAGCAGAGATGCACATGGAGCAGTCGCTGTACAGACAGAAACCAAGGAAGTTTCCAGATAGCCACTTACCGACTCTGGGCTCCAAGACGCCTCCTGCCTCTCCTCACCGGGTCAGTGACTTGCGGATGGTAGACATGCATGCCCACCATAATGCCCATGGCCCTCCCCACACCATGCAGCCAGACAGGGCCTCCCCCAGCCGCCAGACTTTCAAAAAGGAGCCGGGCACCTTGGTGTATATTGAAAAGCCACGCACCGCACCAGGACTCTCCGGCCTCGTGGACCTTGGGACACCTCTAGTGGAAAAGCAAGTGTTTGCTTACAGCACCGCCACCATACCCAAAGACAGAGAGACCAGGTAAGCTGGGCCCTGGGAGGTGCTGTGGGTCTGTCTGTTGTTAAAGGCTGCTCAGTGCACAGGTCAGACCAAGAGGCCAGATGGTGGTTGGATGTCAAGCTTGGGGTGCCAAGAGTTTCTGAAGGAAAGTGAGGCAGGCCAATGTCCATGTGGGTTGATGGGACAGTCACAGCAGTGTTTGGTGGGCCTCAGGAGGGAGCGTCGTTAAGTGTGTCTGAAAAGTGGGAAGAAGGTTATAATTAGCCAAAATGACCAGGCAACTCAATGGAAGATGGTGGCCATTGATCTGCCACTAAGAACAGAAGGGGTGGGTTCAGGTGTGAACTGCTTGAAGTGACACCTTGAGTTTTTCTTTGTGACAGGAGATTTTGTTTTCTCATCTAGTTTTGGGACATAAATGCAAAGAGTGTGTCACTGTCTGTCATCTCTGGTGATAAAATAACATGCATTTGCATAAAAAGAGATTGGTGTAGACTTAATACTTGCTCTGAGTGATACTGAGAGGGCAAAATGTTTCTAGTGAATAAGACATTTGAGATACCTAATATCTTTTTTTAATAGAGATATTGTTAAAGTTTCCCCATCCCAAACCTTCCTACTCCTTCTTGAAAAACTCTTCAAAGGATAGAGTAATGGAAAAATTAATTGTGTATGAAGAACATTTCTCTAGAATTAGGTGGTTGAAGGAAGTCAACATAATAATCACAATAAAAAAATCTAACCAAAAATAATTAAATCGGGGCTGAAGCAATACCACAGTGAGTAGGGCATTTGCCTTGCACACAGCTGTCCTGGGTTTGATTCCCAGCATCCTATATGGTCCCCTGAATACCACCAAGGGTAATTCCTGAGTGCAGAGCCAGGAGTAACCTCTTAGCATCGCCAGGTGTGACCCAAAAAGAAAAAAATAATAATAAATAATAATTAAATCTGGGCTGAAGCAATAATCCAGTGGGGAGAGCATTTCTCTTGCATGTGGCCAACCCAGGCTCAATCGGGGGACATCACATATGGTCCCCCGAGCCCCAGCAGGAGTTATTTCTGAGTGTAGAGCCAGGAGTAACCCCTGAGCATCTCCAGGTATGACCCAATAGAGGAAAAAAAGTCCAAAAGGGGTTAGAGGGGTTAAGCATTTTGCCAGTGCCATTGAGGAATTCAGCAGGGGTGTAAAAAGTAAGATCCAGCTATTTCATCACAACCTTTGTTCCCTACTCCTCATTAAAAATGCTACTATTCCTTGGTACCTTCAAATACAGTACAGGGCAAAACCTTCTAAAAAGATCAAGGTGGAGGTGGAATGTGAATCGTTTTATGTTTTCACACTCAAAGCCAGAAGCTCTGAGTTTATGAATAGAATTTATCCTGAAAGAGTCATTCCTTCTTACCCAGCTGAAAGATTTTGGGAGAACCTGGAAAGAAAATGAAAATGGGAGTTGGGAATCATCTATGGAACAATGAATTCTAATCCTCTCTAATATATCATATTATATTAATCATATTATAATTATCATATAATATATCATATTAATATAAGATATTAATATATCTAATAATAATCAATAGTAGTAATGATATAGGCCTAAGATTATGTAGGCCTAAGAAAATTGAGGATTGAGAGAAAATATTCATCGTCCTTTTTCCTCAGCCTGTAGGAAATGCAGTTCTAAGAAACAGAATAGGTGGCTGGAGACAAGGGCAGCTGAGTGATGCAGGACCAACCCTGAGGCTCATACCAACACTGGGAAAACCTTCTAAGACAGGCTGGCAGCACATGCCCCAGGACTTTCCTGGAAAATGGGTTCACGGGGGTGCTAGAATGTGTGTCATTGGAAAGAGGGGGATGAGAGTCCTAAGAGTTTAGTTCCGAAAATAATAGAAGTAATAGGGACAGAATCCATCCTCCTTGCCTTCCCTGCCACCCCATGCTGGCCCACCTGTGGGTAGGAGAGGGTTGAGAATGTGATTCTGCCTAAATCCCATTGGGATCTATTTTCCCCATGCTGGATTCTGGGTGCATTTTGGCCAAGGATAGTGTCTAACTTCTTTCCTTGGACCCCGCTCACCCATGCATGCTAATCCACCCCCTGTCAGTTCATGGATACCATCGAACCCAGTTTTTCATGGGACTTACTGAGAAAGAAGATAAAGCAGAGGACCCCTCTATACATTGTATCTTCTCTTTTTACTTCGCCGATCAAAGTGATCAAAGTGTCATCAAATGTTCACTGAGACAGCATCAGTATTCTCTCAAGGTCTCTGCTTCCTCTTTAAAAAAGGTTTTGCCAGCCTCAGGGGTTTCCATTCCACCCAAGCTGAAAAAAGTCTATGGCTTTTCCTTTTAATAAGGTGGAAACCCTTTTGAGAAAATCCAAATGATTTTAATTCAGGAATACCAAGTATTAATAAAGTTGATGTAAAAGATTCACTTTCACCTAAAACACACAGTCATTATCATCACTACCACATTCTGACTTAGCATTATTATAATATGAATGTAATTGTACATTTTCACATTTTCCATAATGTGAAATCGCAGGGGAAGAATTTTATCTCACACATATTGCTTCGGTGATTCTTACCTCTTAATCAACTCATGTCTAGAGGGAGGAATTCAAGTGTTGTAGATTCGTGAGCTGGCTAGAGTTCCTTTTCCTGTGTGCAGCTCTCTCTCTCTCTCTCTCTCTCACACACACACACACACACACACACACACACACACACACACCACTCTACTTATAGAGTCACGATCACTCAGTTTTAATACCCCTAATCCCTACTAACTCAATACAGGCCCATGATTCAATTGTATATCTAGTAATTCTCTGGACAAAGCACTTGAAGTATGAAAATGTTGCTTCTTGCTTTCCTGCCCATCACTCCATTGCTACCTGGACAGGTTAGAATGGGAAGCAACTTGAAATGTGCCATACTTCTTCAATTCTGACTCTAAACTTTTTTAAAAAGAGCTGCCCAAACTGAAATGTGATAAAACTGGATAGGATTGAAAGAGAGAGGAAGACCACTAACAGGGCTTGTTTCTTACTGAAAGCCTGTATCTTAGGCTTAGGCTCATACTATCTGAGGTAATTTCCATACACCATACAAAGCCATCATCATGACAGCCCTGGAAACTATATACTATCCTCACCACTATTGCCGAAACAGACACAGAGAGACAAGGTTAACTTGTTCAAGGTCCCAAAGCCAGTAACTGACAGAGCATTCTGATTCATTTTTTACCACTGCACAGTATTTCTCCTGTGAAGTGAGAACTCTGAGCCACCACCTGCACCCAGCAGAAAAGTGAGCTAAGGAGTGAATTCTGAGAAATTCAACTAAGAAGGCCTCAAAAATTGTTTCAGAACTAGATGCTCAGTAAACGCTCCTAAAGGATATTTACAGTCATAAACATGAGAGAATTTGCATAATTACACTGCTAAATATGTACATGCCATTTAAAATATAACTGTCCTCGCTAGTATATTAGCACAATTATGCAGAAATAGGGAATGGAAGAAGAGAGTATTTGGGGAAGATTCTTCTTCTTAAAAAACGGATGTGCAAACGATGTCAAAGAAAAAAATTTTTCAAAAGCAAGAATACCTAAACAATTACCAAAGCACAAAATTTATAGTCCATTACCTCACCCATCTTGTGATGTTATTTTGGAAATACATCATCAGTATTAAGTGTTTTTAAAGAGTCTTCGACCCCTAAAAGTCTCACTGTCTAAAAGTCTGCTTGGGTACAGGCTGTTCCTATAGAGTGCCAAACCATCTTCTGTCACAATTTCATAATATTAAAAAGCAAATAAATCTAAGAGCACTTTTTATAGAAAACTGTCCAGTAAAAGTTTACATCTAAGACATGCAACTACAATAACACAGGAGGGAGACTGAGAAATCCAGGCGATGCTTTTCTTGGGGCACTGCTGGATTCTTACATGTTTCAGCAGAACTCTTCAACAAAATAAGCTGCATAGCCCCAGGATGTTTAAAAATCAGAGAGAAAGGCCCTGTCTTTTCCTTCTGTACTGGAGAAATGTCCAATGGCAGCTTTATTTCCATAAAGGAAACATGATTTTTATAAGAAATCTATGGACTTGAAAATGAAGACAGTGGGCATTCATCTTGGTTCTTGGATTGAGTCCTGTTCTTTGACCCCCGAGATCCAGCATCTCTTTCCTTTGTGAAGATGATTTCAGCATCTTGACTTTCTGGAAGTCATGTCGGGTTCCATGGAGATGATCTGAAGGCAATAGGCTGTCACGCAAACTGTAATAGAGGTTGGCAGGGCACCTTTCCCTATCAGTGTAGACCATGAAGCAGGGGAACTGTGGCAAGCCCTTTGAACACTCGGGACTCCAATTCGCATATCTCTCAGAAGAAGATGATTGCAAGTGACTGGGTAGCATGTCCTTTGAGCAGAGATTCCGGGAAAGAGTGTGCTCACATGGTTGTAAGGAGTGTCCAGGACAATGCTGTGTGACTGATGACTTCATGTACGAGGCCCTCTTTCCCCATGTTATTTGATGACTTCATCAAACTGCATCATTATTCCTCTTCATGGCACATGAAGAAGTTCTTAAGATCTGTTGCATCCCAGGCATTTGTGTTTTGCTATTTCCTATTGAGAGTTTAGATCATCTAATGGCAAATGTCTCTGCACTCAGAATCCCGGCATGCTCACTGCAAAGTGACTAATGGCTCTCCTTCCAAATGTGTAACAGATTTCTTCCTAATTCTGCCTTGATTTTAGGACACACTAAACTTAAACTAAGATCATATTTTTATACTGTTTTGCACCTAGAGTGGCTAAATTGAATTACCTAGTCCAGAATCCTATTGGGAGCTTTGTGCCCTGCCTAGGCAGCTGTGTCTGGATGTGATTTCTGAGGTGAGCTTATGATTCCACACCCTTGGTGACAGAATCTTTGACTTTGACCACCTAGAGAAAGACCAATGAAGGAAACTTCATGGCTAGGAGGAAGCCCACATGCT